CCGGAATGTTCAACTTTGCGGAATAGGATGACTGCTCTACACCAGATGTTAAGATAGACTACAACTGATTTAGTACAGTGCGCAAAGATAAACTGAAAGTATTTCCCACTTTAGCAGTCAAATTAATCGAACAAATCAATCATTTATTTGTATATTAATATTTCTTACTGATATCTACTTAGGTCATTCCAAAAGTAGTGAGAGTAACGCTTTAATACCCTATAGTAAACTTAAAGAAAGTTTCTTTTTATATGAAACGATAGAGAGAAAAAAGCCCTACCTTTCTATGCTATTTGATCGTACTTCAACTAATATCATGATATTAAATTATCTATAAAACCTATTTCGGCTGGTTATGTTCTCGTTATACTAGATCATATTTTATTTTTCAACATGTATATTAGTTGAAGTATGATCAAATAGCATAGAAAGATAGCGCGGTTTTTTCTCTATCGTTTCATATGACAAGAAACTCTCATTCAGTTTACTAGAAGGCATTAAAGCGTTACTCTCACTACTTTTGGAATGACCTAAGTATTATTTCGACAATTATTTAGATATTTTGCTGAAATAATACAAAATGTTCAAAGAGTAATGGTCATCTACCTGTTCGATCTAGGTTTTTTGATTCGTAATGGATTGATATATTGTGAATTCGAAACGAATGAAATTTTTCGACTGTTCAGCGTGAAAAAGTGCAACTGCAAATAAAATTTATTGCAACTTTTATGTGTAGGTGCCCGAATAAAGAGTTCAAAGCTTTCTCTTCTCACGGCTTTTTTTTCGTTAAAAGGATGATTGCTTTCGTCACCACACTTCAATACTTTCTTTCACTGCGCATTACTTCGATCAAAGCGATGTTTGCTGTGATTTAGCGTTTGGGCGCGCGTAAGTCACTCATCGCCACAATGTTCTGCATTAGTGTTTCATATAGGCGACGAATGAAAAATATTTAGTGTTTTGTTTGTTTTGGGATGATTCATTTTAGATTTTCTTCGTTCCAATCGATTAAGTAATGCCAATGCCAATGAAATGCAAGGAAGACTGATTGATGCATTCGTCTTCAGGATGATTGAAGTGGGAGAACGTAACTGTTGGAAAAAAAAACAACAAAATTCGAAGCCTTCTGTTACCATGAATCAACTGACATTTTTACGAATAAAACTTTCGAGACTCACATTCGTGTTCATTTCTTACGTTCGAGGATAAGTATCATTTTTAAGCACTAGTTTTTCGTCATATTATGCATTGCCTCATGATATGAATTTATGTTGAGAATAAAAGCATGTTGAAGGTACAGCTAACTAGTTAAATAAAAATAAAAAGGTATTATATAAACACATTTTAATGTGTATAAAAATAAAACAAAAAAATATCCGATAGCATGAGTACTTGATATCATTTTCCATCTTGCTAGAGGCGAAACGAGAAAAATCGTCCTCGCAGGACACTAATGTTATTTTAGATTGATTATTCCCTCTACTGGAAGGAGAGTTATGCGTCGAGCAGCTACATCGACCAAGTGTTCGTTCATTCGTTTGTTCGCTTGCGATTTATTAATATTTCTTATAAAACTTGGCCAAAGATAATTGAGTCTGGGAAATCTGAATCTGTGATCAGTTTTAATTAATTAACTATTAGTTAACTATTACTAGTTTTTATGAAACTTGATCAAAGGTAATCGAGGATAGGGAATCTGAATCTGACATCAGCGCTTATTTTTTCTACTACTATTAGTTATTTTTTTTTGCAGAACTTGATCAAAGATTATTGAAGATACAAAACCGAAATCTATGATTAGTTTGTTCCCTCTACTGAAAGAAGGGTTATGCATTAAGCAGCTGCAACGGTCAAATGTTCCTTCATCGGTCAGAGAAGGAATAACTAGTTTTTAGAACGTTTTAGCAACGGTAAACGAGAATACGAGGGTGGAGAATGTGGGGCAGAAATCAATCTGTCTGTGATTTCCTGAGGGTGAGGGCAAAGTTATACTACCATAAATTGCCTAAATCAATGAGTTTTTCAATGCAATCAATAAAGCGTATTATTTAAATTTCTGAATTGCAAGTCTTTCGTGTTTTTATTAGGTTATTCTCATTTTTCATTCTATGGATTTAATTGCAACAAACGAAAATGATCACGATCACGAGAAAGAAACAATTGAAGTGTGAAATTGACGACTCTATTATTATTTCTCATCAATGCTTATATTAACTTATATTAATTCGAAGTCGATAATCAAAACGAAAAAATAATGTTTTGTTGACTTTGCAAGATTTATACGACCTGATTTATCGTTTTTGTACAGAAAAAAGGAATATATAACTTATGTTTCTAGAATTTTAGTTTTTGGATGAAATATTAATACGAAATAAAAAGAAAATATTTTTAAATATGTAACTTCGAATAAAAATATAGTAAACTAATTAGACGCATCTGCAATCGTTGTATATTCTTCATATTCTGTTTTAAAGCCAAGTAATTGACCAATGAGGGTGTGGATGTGGATGCAGGTGTAGATATCCATCTTGTGATCACTCACATCAACACACTCACCCACACCCACACTCATCGGTGATAGTTCAACATTGAACCATTTGATTTTATGATGAATCGAAGGTAAAATTTGTGAAAAAAATCGATCAAGTATTGGATTATTTGATTGAGGACAGGGACTATAATAATGAAGATATCTAATCATCGTTAAACGATTTGTAAAAATTGAATCATGTACAAGTTTATTAAATCGTTTACTAGCACCTGCGAATAAGTAGAGTACTGCAGCGGTGTGGGTGTGAATGTGTGTGATGGGTGTGAGTATGGCTCAAAAGAAAGGGTTTACATCCACTCACAGCAACATCTATGCCTACACTCACGTCTACACCCACACTCTCACCCACACTCTCACCCACACCCCCATACCCACATCTGCGCATACGCTCACGTCTCCACCCACACCCACGCCCTATTTTGATTCAAAGGAGCTCTATCAATCTCTCTAATGTGTCGTCTCTTTAGATACTCCTTGACTCTTGCATACGAAATTATTAATGAAACCGTATTCTGTGGATTCATACTGACTGAGTCTGATACATAGGCATCTTTCTTGATAATAATCAAGACCGAATAATCCGCCTGATCGAAGTTATTTCTCTGATGTATTGAGATGTCAAACCTATCATTTTTTCAAAGAAGCGTTAGTATATAATATCTTTCTTTATTTTTATTTACGTCTACTGTTAAATTTCTCGTGCATAGCTAGTGGCAATAAAAAAATGCTTCCTCCGTTCTGTCACATGACTCCATTTTTTTCTTGAGCTACCGATTACTGCTAAGAAACATAACATGTGCATGACATGACAGATCTTTTAACGAAGCATAAAAAACACAAAAAAAAAACAAATCGACATTTTGTTTTTCTCTCGTGTAGTAAAAATGCGATACTAAAAATTTGGTTTGCTAAGAAAGAATTATTATAATTATATCGATGGCATCGATCGAAGAAAAAGTTGTTGGAAATCTTAATGCATACAAAATAAGACAGATTCGCGCAAAAAATAATACATTCGACGATGTAACATTAATTTGGCTCGATACTCACATTAACGAGAGTAGTGATTGTTTACGAGCTAAAGATCGTTTACGTCTCATCGTTAACGTTTTGAAGACTTTCAATGACGTAGAAACATGTATTACGTATATTAAATCAGTTGATGATGATGATGAACCATTATGTGTGGTTGTATCCGGAGCGCTGAGTGATGCTTTCATACCACAAGTGGTTTGCATAGCTGTCTACTGTTTTGATGAGTCAACCTACAGAAGCAAATTTGATAAACACGCTGATCAGTCTCCTAAACTTGTAGGAGTTTTCGTGAAGCTTGATCTATTACTCGAAGTCCTGAATAAGCAAATGACACTGTTGCGTAATTCATTATCAACTATTTCACTACTCACATATGAAGGTGATGATTGACGACAAAAATCTGTAAAAGATTTGTCCCGTGAAAACGCTACTTTTGTCTGGTTTCAACTTCTCGTTCATACGATTTTTCGTTTACCACGAACTGATGCTGCACGAAGAGAAATGATTCGTGAGTGTGAACGACAATACACTAGAAATTCAGCACAGTTGAGTAGGATTAAAGAATTTCAAGAAAAGTATAAACCTAGTGATGCCATCCCTTGGTACACGTGTGATTCTTTCGTTTATAGAATCATTAATCGAGCATTACGTACACAAAATATTCATATTATTCTTCAATTTTATCCATTCATTGGTGACCTTCATGATCAATTGACTATTTTACACAAGGACTTTCTTGACTCTGGAACAGCACAAATGCTTACTGTTTACCGAGGACAAAAGATCCATGTCGATGAACTAAAGAAAATTACTCAGAATGTGGGTAGGCTTCTATCAATGAATTCGTTTTTTTTCAACTGGCACTGACCGTCAACTAGCACGTTTTTTCGCTGGAAATTCCACTCAAATAGACGATCCACTTGTTTCGACTCTTTATGAAGTCTATATTGACACTACGGTATCAGCTGCACCATTTGGCAACGTTAGCGAATATAGCCAGTTTCCTGATGAGGAGGAATATTTTTTTTCTATCGGTGCTATCTTCCGAATCGAATCAGCTGAGAAAATGACCGATGATCTTGGCAAACTGTGGCTCGTTCGCATACGTTTAGTTGGCAAACATCGTGAACAAGAACTTGATGATCTTTTCGAACATTTGAAATCGCAAATCGGTGAAACAAGCTCTCTTCTTGTACTGGCTGCATTCCTTTTCCACATGGGCGGCATAACTGGTGCAGAACGATACTATAGATTACTACGAGATGAGTTGCCGGAAGATGATCCGGATCGACCGATCGTATTGAATAATCTTGGTCAGATTGCTCATAAAACGAATCGAATTCAGGAAGCTCTCGATCTGTACAAACAAGCATTGCAACACTACGCCAAAGATGCCGTGCCGCGACTGTATCTCATGGCGATTACATATGGTAATATTGCATGGATTCATTATTCGAATGGTGATTACGAGAGGGCTGAAGTTGACATAAGAAAAGTTCTCGAGTTGCAAGAATATTGTCAAGATTCTACCAATGAACTATTTATTACAAGTCGAAATAATCTTGGTACCATCTTTCAGGAACAAGGAAAACTTGATGAAGCCCTCGAACAATATCAAAAAGCACTAATATTATGTCAATGTGTTTTCAAGACGGAAAATCACCCAACACGTGCTGTAACTGAAGGAAATCTTGGTAAAATTTATGATTCATTAGTCAGAACACGTGAGGCCATCGATTGTTTTGAACGGTCCCTCGCTATTTACGAGCGTTGTCTTCCGTCTGGACATTATTCATTGGTCAGTAGTCATGCGAATTTAGGACAGATGTATATTGAGATTGGTGATTATGAAAGAGCTCTGAACCATCTTGAAAGTGCTTTGACCATAGAAAAACAAGCTGATCACGGTACTCAGAAAAATCCAATGTTACTTGCAAACACACTCGATGGATTCAGCTTAGTATACCTGCGACAGAATAAACTCACTCAGGCACTCGGCTATTGTAATCAAGCATTGAAAACTTTGCCAAAAGATCATTCTGACAGAGCTTTTACTTATAGACAACTGGGTGCCATTTACAGACCAATGGGCATTTAACCACTTGCAAAACGAGCATACCACGAAGCAATTGCTGTCAATCCAAATAATGAAATTACACTGGCAGAAAATCTTCACTCGCTTGGTTTAGTTCAATCTGATGAAGGAAAGCACGAAGAAGCCATGATTTCATATAATCGTGCTCTAGAAATTCGAAAACGATTGTTCCCACCTACCCATCCTGCTATTGGTAAACTCTACAATGAAATGGGTGGTATATACCTTTCAATCGGACCTTTAGAAGAGGCCCTAGAATATTTTCAAAAGACAAAAGCTATTGAAGAAGAGTCCTTGCCAGAAAATCATATAGAACGAGCACGTACTTTAAATAATATCGGTGTCACACTATTCAAGTTAGATAGACCTGAAGAAGCACTCCCATTTGTGGATAAAGCAGTTGCAATTGCTTGCAATCTGCTACCTGATACTGAGGGTGTGGGTGTGGGTGTGGGTGTGGGTGTGGGTGTGGGTGTGGGTGTGGGTGTGGGCTA